ATTGGCTTTTATTGCCAGCAAAAAATGCCAGTTAGTATTATTTATGGTGGTGGCTTACATGACCAATTAATACACAGTCTTTACAACTAACACTCAGGGACTGGACTGAGACCATCAAAATCATTTCACAAGCTCTTAGACATCATTGATCTATTAGTTGGTGATGGAGGCTTCTGTTACTAGTCTCTTATGCCTACCAGTCTTCAAATCATTTTTTAATTTGAAAGACTATGTAAGAAAGAGGGAGGGAGCAGGAAAGGGACTGGAGGAAAAGCAGCCTACAGAAATAGACAGATACAGGTGTTTTTAGAGCTCTGTTGCCTGTAATTTAAAAAAATCTGCTGAAGTGGAGCCTCTATTTCTATCTCTTTTATTTTTATCTCATGGAAACAGATTGTTCAGGTAAGCTAATACTCTTGGTCACATGTGAAACCTCCAATCACATAGGGGTATACTTCCCACCATGTGTTTTACTGGGTGACATTGAGAAATCTTGTTGTGATTCAGATAATACAAGCATAAATCATGTTGGGGTATGTACAATTTTATCATTAAACATGGTTGGTTGAAGTACAGGCCGTTAATGAGATTGAGCATCTCTTTGAGACAGACATTATGAGCTTTACGTGAAATCGTTTGGTGTCATTCCTTGGCCAGTCTGATGTAGGAAGTCAGACTAGAGGGTCACAGTGATCTCTATGGTTTGTAAGGTCAAAAGGGTGAAATTCTGATGTCAATGACAGAATTTCTATTGATGATGGGCCAGAATTTCACCCTGTGAATATATTATTCAAATAAGTTAGGTTCTCACCCAAGTATTTGTATTACACCAGTTTCTAGAGCTTGCCATTCTTTTGATGATGCAGCTGTCCCAAGAAGTAATTCCACAAGCTCTCCCCTGCACTCACTGCCCCCACTGGTCACTCTGCTTTATCACATCCCTCTGAACAGCAGTCCTTTCCCTTTCCATGTTCTGGAAAATGGTCCCATTCCTGGCTCTTCCTGTTTTCCTGGCACAACCAAACTCTGATTTTGCTTTAAGTTAAGGTAAGAGGAAACTGCATACCAAATTTGGTAGCCCTAGCTCCTACTATTTAGGAGAAGTTCTTGAACAAATGGACTTGCAGACAGACTCAAAGACACTCTAAAACATAAATGTTTTCTAGACCTTTAATCATTTTTCTTGCTCTTCCTTGGACATTCTTGAATTTCTCTACCTCTTTCCTGAAATGTGCTGCCCATAACTGGACACAATATCCAACTGAGCCCTAATTAGTGCAGGGTAGAGCAGAAAAATTACTACTTGTGTCTTGTTCACAACACTCCTGTTAATGCATCCCAGAATCATGTTTGCCTTTTTTGCAACAGTGTCACGCTGTTGACTCATATTTAGCTTGTGGTGCACTATGACCCCAGATCTGAAGTACTCCTTCCTAGACTGACTTTCCATTTTGTATATGTGAAACTGATTGTTCCTCCATAACTGTTATTTATCGCCTTATTATTTTCCATATGTTTGCAGAGGATTCCTTAATTATTTGCTCTATTACCTTTGCGAGCACAGAAGTTAAGCTGATTGGTCTGTAGTTTCTTGGGTTGTACTTATTTCCCTTTTTTATAGATGGGCACTATATTTTCCCTCTTCCAGTCTTCTGGAATTTCTCCCATCTTCCATGACATTTCAAAGATGATAGCTAATGGCCTGCATACCTCCTTGATCCACTCCTTAAATATTCTAGGATGCATTTCATTAGGCCTCAGTGACGTGAAGACATATAACTTTTCTAAGTAAACTAGCCAATTAGCCCATCATAAGATGAGATTTTCAGGTCTCTCCTCCACGTCAGTCTTCTCTCCTGAGCCTCCGGTCTCTTGCTCCGTCTCTCTTTCTCTCTCTCCTCCTCCTCATACTGCCTCCCCCTCTCTCTCTCAGCTCTCCTCCACCTTCTGCCTCTCTCTTCCTCTTCTCCCCCTGCTGCCTCTCACTCTCTCTTTGCTCTCCTTTGTCTCCGTCAGGGATGCACGCTCATCCAGGCCCCGCCCTCTGGGCATGTACATCACCACCCCACCCCCCTTCTCCTCCTGCTATGGGGCTCAGGTGACTTCTGCACCACTCAGCTGGACCGCCGTGTGGGAGCAAGCAGCGTAAATGGCCTCTCTTCTCCAACTCCTACTGCCTTGCCCCGTCCTAAGGCCCCAACAAGCCTTCTGATTGAGTCTGCACCTGCCCCTGCAGCAGGAAGAAGTGCCTATAAAAGTGGCTAGCTGCTCCATGTTGCTCTCTGCACTGCATGGAGGAGGAGGGTAGGAGAGGCGTCAGCATACTGCCCCTCCCTCCCGCAAAATCTTTCAGTCCCTATTGGTAGAAACTGGCCCGTGGGAGCTGAAAGATTTTGCTGGGGACAGAGTGGGGGCTGGCAGCATCTAGAGAGCTCTGGGGGGGCTGGGGAAGGAGTGGGGGCACACTGGAGCTCTAACCCAGTGCCAGCACAGGCTAGGAGTGGACCTTTCCTGGGCTGGCAAATTCCCTCATTTGGGACCAGTCAGTTCCTGAGCGTGCCAAACTAGCAAGATCCAACTTGTATTACAATTGTTGAAATTTTTAACTATATCTCAATGCAATCTAAAGACCATAATTATGTTATCCTTGAGCTCTGTAAATTGACATCAGTAAAAAGACTTCAAAAGCTTTCCATTCACAAGGTACTCTTGCATTAGGCACAGTGATTTTCTATCACTGGCTTATGAGCCAGGTTTGCCAGATCAGATACTTAAGCACCTATGCTCTTTTCCTTGACATCTCATTCTTGGTTTGCTAAGGTGGCCCCTCACTTAGCTGGCCAGCTTCTGACAATCTTTCATAAGTGAGTAACTTTCTCCCCATGCATATTGTAGAGATCGGAAAATTCCACTTGGCAACGGGCAGCCCAGGGATTAGGCATGGCTGCACTCAGCTGAACAACACTTAAATCCTTCTAAAAGGCTGGGCCTCCATGGCTATGGTGATTCAAGTTTGGGTAAAGATTGAATATTGTTTGTAAAACCCTTCTGTTTCCTATCAATTTCTAATAATAAGCCCTGATTATTATTCAGTTAAGAACTCTGCAGAAGTCTAGTGCACTTGTTTTCTAGAGAAGAGAGTCAGGCAGATGACACTGCTTTTGCAGGTTTCATATTTATGTTAATGATCTTCACAGAGATAATGAGTGACAGCCTGCTGATATTATATATGCTTTCCAGATCTTAGGCTTAATGCTTCTCATAAGAGACTCTAGAATCACAAGACGGAAAAATATAGGGAATCAAAGTGCCACAATTTCTGCACAGGGAACCACTTCCTCTGGAGACCTAGATAAAAGAAAACCAATTGTTCTGGGTTCCTGGTTCATGATGCAAAAAACAGAATGGAAGCAAAGTAATGGCTTTTGAAAGCAGAAAGGTGTAACTTTCTCTTTAGCATCTGAGGAAGTAACTCATGAAAGCTTATGCCATACTATCCTAATAAATGTGTTAGTCTTTAAAGTGCCACTTGTTGTTTCAGATGTAACTTGTTCAGCTCAGACCTGAGATACCTAGCAGTTGAACTAATTTCAAGCCATCTATAACACTTTTAAGGTCTCCTACTATATAATCAGAAGACCTAGGATAGATGTTTTGTGGCAGAGTGAGTATTTCAGCTTTTTGACTGTCAGGCAGAAATATCAGGATTCATTTTATGTATTTTTGATTGCAAATATGAACAAACAAGCCACTGCAGAGACAACTTCATTTTTATCCTGATCTTGAACATCTACCTATCCAGGAAGATTTTTTGGTTCTTTTTTTGCTTTTTCAATTTCTCTTTTAACCAGACACTTTGGAAAAACACAGTATGATCCAAAGAACTTGAGAATGTATGTTTCCACTCCACCCTCAAGTCCGCCAGGACTATAAAGAACCCCATCTACAGAAGGTATCTGAAGTTTGAAATCATTAACGTTTCCATTTTTATCCCCTTCTGCAGTATTCTGAGTAGCATTCATGTTGTTTTTTAAAAAGAAAAAAAGCTTCTTTTGAGTTTGACCCTGTTGTACATATGCTGACCAAGCTCTACTTTACTCCTTTTAAGAAGATCTTATTTTTATCTAAAATTCACAGGTAACTCTCTTGCTCTTTATTTTCTACTTTGTAAAACACCAACCAAACAAAAAATTCATCAAAGAAACTTTTTTTTACTGATAACTTGATGTGTTAAGAGGGAGCTAAAAGTTGCTTGCTGCCCTAGATGTCTACTTGTCTCTACTATTAGCTTCTGAGTCACTGCCAGTAATTACCTATTTCATCATCATAAGTCTATTTTGTTCACCTCTGGAAATCTTTAACCCTATTTTACTTAAGTACTTAATCTGTTTCTTTTCTTCAGGCCCATTTCTGTTATTGGCAAGTTTCTCTTTTACTTAAAATTGGTTCTATCTTTATCATCACAAAATTACCTCATACAAAAGTATTTCAGTCACTGTGCTTTAGCTGAGTTCTTTCATAGAAATTCAGGGTCACTATGAAGACTTATATAAGCTTTCACTGAAGACAATGAAAACTTGTACTGAAATCAGTGGAAGTGAGATTGAAATTTGACTTAGTGTACTATAATCTTTAGATTTCAATAGTGTCAAATCTGATATCATAGCACTTTAATACAGTTATATCAATACATTATATAGTGTGCTGAATGAATGAGTTTCAGTTGATCTGCAATTCCAAAAAGCAAAATAAAAAGCCAGGTTCAACAAAACACTTTGACAAAACTGAAATATTTATTTTTGATTCTGATAAGTTTAAACCAGCTTTTTTATTGATTGCTTAAAAATAAAAGGAAAATTTGAAACAAAAACAATACTTCAATAAATTCAAAATGCTTCATTTTGAATATGCCAAAATCAAAGTCTTTGATTATTTTTATTTTTTTTAAATCAGAACAGCTTAGTGAAGATTCAACTTACAAATGTTTCAGTGTTGCTGAATCTGCATTTTTATCAGAAAGAAAAAAGGCATACAAACTTTTGCTTAGTTCTAGTTATAAAATCTTGCAATCACAACAAAACAGGATAGATATAAATATTTTAGGAGGAGGTTGTCTACATTTTGTTTACTTATTACTGCCTTCTTCCCCAGTTTATTTTATAGGCTTAGATGACTATAGCAAGACTACCCACACTTAAGAATCAAATATAATTAGCAAGGACCATTAATGACTACTAATGCAGCATTTGAGCATCATGAACTCAGCTATGCTGTTGTTCTAGCCAACTGATTGTAGAGGACAGAAATGGTGAATTAATTTTTTCCATAGTTAATATCCTAACCATTCCTCTTGGTCTGCATATACATTGAAATATATTTGGCTTTTCAAAAAACCATGAAACACCATTTAAAACTGTTGCTCTTCTCTCTCAATTCATGAGCTTTTCTTTGCTGCCACCTTGGTTCTAATTTGGCTGTTATATGTTACTTTGGGCTTCTGTTTTATTTTGAGTTGAGGTGCCAGCATGCTGGTATGAAGGATGGTGCTGTTTGTCTATACCTTCATTACATTCCTTTGACAAGATATTTCCCAACTTCTGTCCTTTCCATTCTTTTATTGCCAGTGTCAGTTATGTGCTGTTATATGCTGCTGTTCTAACAAGTGTTGTTCATTCCACTTCACCTTTCCACACACAGGATTAAAGTTCTCCATTTGGAATTTTACCTGAGGAAAAAGCAACCACATGGCTAATCTCTCTCATGAGTTTGAGGTCCATGCCCCTTGAAAGAGAGGATCTTATTTAGAGATAAATCATTCAGTCATTTTTATAACATCTAACCTGATGAGGAAAGAGGATATGATTTTTAAAGTATCATGAGAGAAGTAGATATTGAACATGTCAAAGTCAGTTGAGACAGATTCCTGTCAGATCCCTGTATGATACTTATTTATTTGATCCTTACTCCAAATATGATTTTAACTGACCACCTCAAGAGTATTATACACAAACTCTGTGATCTGAGTCTAATTCACACTTACAATAAGTGTTGTTGATACCACCCTTGTATTCTAAAATGGTCCTAAAGTAGATATTCATTAAATCATTCTGACAATATAAAATAGATGTAAAGAGACCTTAATGTAAATGAGAATTGGATCTTATAACTTGAAAAAGTCTCAAAGTATTTTGATAAAGTCATTGTAGTCTAGGGGAAATAAAAGTAGAAGTAGAATAAAAAGTAGAAGTGAGATTTCCTTCTTCCCATAAGGAGTCCTTAGTTTTTACACTTTAGATTGGGCAGTGACCCTTCATATTGCACTCTGGCATATATAACTAAAATATGGCCAATTATGGTTTGATTAAAACAAAAAAATAACTAGAAGCTTATTAATGAAGCATTTCAATGTAAGGGGGGGAAGGTAGGAAGACCCCTTTTGAGACTGGCTGGAATATAGCACCTAAGAGTTTTTATTTTAGAATGTTTTGAATATGGTGCATTCTGTTTGCCTGATGTTTTAAATCAGCAAAGGACATATTTACCTAAGATGTCCATACAGTCCATAATTTTCATTAGTTCCATTAGTGGCATCCAATTGTCGAAGTTCACATGAAAGTAAGAGTTTAGTACTTAGACAAATACACAGGAAGAATACTTGTAAGACACAGGAAGGAGAGAACAGATAATATAAGATCCTTGGCATTTTCTTATTAAAACAACAACAGAAGTGACACACAGTATGTCTCTCTCTTGAAATCTTCTCACTTTTCCCTGGGGTTTCCAAACCAGGGCCGCCCATCTCTGCCAGCCCCGCTTCAGCCACTGGTTTTTCAGCTAGGGCTGCCCAATCTGGTCCCACTGCCATCAAGAGTATCCTGGGGGAGAGGGGTGTGTCCCCAGCTAGGCCTCCTACCACCAGATGCTCCAACCAGCTGACACCAGGGGATCCTTGGCCGGGGGGGGGGGGGGGGGGGGGGGGAGGGGGAGACAGCTAGCTACTGCTACCGGCACCAATGTGAGGGGTGGGGGTGGCCTCCCTTTCCTCCTTTGGGGCTCTTTGGTCCAACAACATCCATGGCCCTGTTGGGCAAAGGATGTTGCTGGCCAGAGAGTCCCAGATTTGGGAGGTTCAACATGTAATATTTTTCTTTCCATGAATACGAATATACAGGATGATAGTAACATGCTGAAAAAATACATGATTTAAATGCAGGGCTGGGAGCCAGGAATTCTGGAATCTGCTTCTGGCACTTCTAGAGCTGTCCGCTGGCTTAGACAAGCCACTTAAACTTATATCCCAATTTTTCCATTAGCAAAATGGAAATGCAGTTTGTTTGCCTCACGTGAATCTTGTGAAGCCTAATTAACATTTGTGAGGTGTTTTCTGATCCTTTGATGGGAAACATTAAAAAAGAGCTGCCAGCAAAGTGCACAGAAGTAACTCAAGTAATCCTGACCCTACTCACAGTGGTTTCCAAATGATTCAACAGCACCTCATGGCAAACTGTATCTAAGGGTATGTCTACGCTACAAAGTTAATTCGAAATAACAGCAGTTATTTTGAATTAACTTTAATAGCGTCTACACAGGCAAACCGCTATTTTGAAATAAATGACCCAGTGGCACCAAAACATGAGCCAGCTCTCCACCACTCCCCAGGAGCAGTCTGCCAGCTCCCAGGAGTCTGACGGGGGCCGGAGAAGGCAGGTGTCTTCCTGGTCCAGGGTAGAGATCATGGACCTTATTCAGGTTTGGGGGGGATGCCCCCAACATCCACAATCTCTGCACTAGATGGAGGAATGCAGCCGTCTAGGGCAGCATAGCTGCCAGCCTGGCCACCAAAGGCCACATGCGAACCCAGGAGCAGGTCTGCATGAAAGTCAGGTTGGTCTGGTGAGACTCCCAGCCCTGAGCTTCCCCTCCCTCTTCCCCCCTCTCCCCCCACCTTTCCTCAGTCCCCCCAGAGGTTCATCCCCCCCCCCCCCCCAGTTTTGTTCAATAAACCCAGTTTCTAATTTTGAACATACATGTCTTTTATTTGACTTCAGGAAGGGGGGCTAGGGAGGAGTAAGTGGAAGGACGTGAGGGAGGAATGGGGCATGAGCCCCTGGTGGGGAGGACCAGGGAGGCTCTGAGGGCTTCTCAGGGTGGACGCTCTCCCTCAGGGCCTCCTGGATCCTGACAGCCGCCCTGATAAACTCCCAGGATGGCAGCCTGCAGCAAGTGCAGCCGAGCTGATGGCAATGACCCCACGAAACGCACTGGCGTGCCCAGGGGCAGCTCTGGCTCCATGTGGCTGAATGCTTTGGTGTCTCGAGTGCAGGCACTCAGGGCACTCCAAGACAGGACTGCTTTGCTGTCCCTCATCGAGGTAGACAAGCAAACGGGGAACCCTGAGAACTGTCTGTCTGGGGTGGGGGTAGGGTCCCTTTAAGCACAGAGCTCAGTTAGCCTCAGGCAGCAGCCCCAAATGCTAAGTTCTAACCTGATGCCCTGCCGGCACTGGTTCTGGCCAGCCTTAACTTCGATTCAGGGTCCATTCAGTGTGGACGTGCTATTTCGAAATAGCAAAATACTATTTCAAAATAGTTTGTGTATAGATGTGTTATTTCGAATTAGCTATTTCGAATTAAAAGTTAATTCAAAATAGCACTGTAGTGTAGACATACCCAAAGGGAGTTATCCGAGCTAGTAATACAGTATCTATGTGGATATTGATCGTCATCAGTCTCCAAGAGATTTTTTTTTCATTGTTGTTTGAGATGGTGGCTTTGGGTTATAAAGCCCTCGACAACCTGAAATATACCGGTCTTAGAGACTGTTTCTCTCTCCACTAAATGCTACCACATTTGCAGTCAGTAGAGGCCCGTGACATGAAGTTCTATCTGTATAAAAAACAGACTGTATCTAACAGGCCATTCTCTATTAGTAATCTTAAAGTTTTGGAACTTCACCCAGGATGTGGAGCAGCATGAGTTTCAGGGGATACTACATATCTAATCTTTTCTCCCTATACCTTTGGAAGTTAGGAGATGGGAGGAGTAGACATCTCTAGTGGTAGTTTGGTTGATATTGTGTGTTACATCCATGTTTCTGAGAGTATAGTCTTCTCAGAAAGTCCATTGTTAAGATCCGTTATATATGAATTGTGTTTGAGTGGTTGTCAGGGACATTTGGAGCCATGGATGGATGTGGTTAGCATAATGTCAAACAAATTGTTTTTGATATAAAAACAATTAGCTCATGAGTCTCATCCAACTACAACATTCAAGTTTTAGAAATTTGGCTACTGTTCATAGTCTTTGTGGACACTTAAAAAAAAAAAAAAAGGCAGGAAGTTTTTTCTTCCACTCCCATTCTTTCTCCTGCGTTTTTCCCCCCATCTTCTGCCTCTGCCAAGTGCTACTCATTCTACCCACTCCATCCTTTGTTTTCTTCTCTTTTCTTCCTTGTTCCATAACCTCACAACAGAGGCACCTACCCTGCTTTCCCAGGCCTGATTTGGCTCTTCACAAGCTTTTATTTCTGAAAAGCATTTTCCAACAGGCCTGTTAAGATCGGGGGAGAAGACTCTTAGCTTGGTGCCAGCTCCGACACAGAATTTTTTTTAATTGCTAATGCTGAATTAATGAAAGCCTTAGCAAAGCAGCAGAGCGCATTTACAATTTTACATTAAATTTGAAGTACTCTGCATAATGTGGAGCGCTTAACAACTACACTATGATCTCATGGTTTATTCAGAAACCAATGAGAGTTTCCTGTGCTGCCAAGTGATTGTCAGAAAGTTGGCATAAAAATGTCTCTTGTGATCTATTCTGGGATATCAAGAAGAATTAAATAGCAAGAGTGGGATTTTTCCCCTATGCTTCTTAATTCAACAAGTACTATGGAGTTCTGAAAAGGAAGAACTACACTAATTGCTGCTTTCAGAGCTCAGTGCTTTCAGTTGTGCATTATATTTTGGTTTCCTTGGATCAATCAGTGCTGACAGGGTAGAGTCATAGATAATTCCAGCATACAGTCCTGAGATAATACCTTGCATTAGATTAGGTAAAATGCATCACACAAGGTTTTCCACATAGGAGTCCAATTAATTAGGGAAATTCCAGGAGGGTCTGTACTGGTCTATTTATTTCATTACTTGTTCCACCTTTCTGTTTCATAGATACATCCTGCTGCCTTGTAACTCACTTGAAAATCATAAGTGTGCTTTGCTTTTCTGCATAGATATGGGGAATGTCAGAGTACTTAAGAGATGATGGATTCACAGAAAACAGAATTTTATGGATTCAAGACTATTTTGGCCAAATTGTGGCAACTCTAACATGGGTGCACTGTGAGAGAAGAAGGTACAGATTTCCTTTCCATATCTGAATGCAGCCAAAATTTGGGTAATGAGAGTACAGGTGCACCTGGAAGTATGGGTGCAGCTGTCCAACCTTGCAGGAAGCAAACACTGACCCCTTAGACAGGTCAAAGCTAGGACATGGCCATTGCTTTACATGTCATGCCTGAAAAGAGAGCTGCTAGTCAACATAATCCTTCCAGTGTGCTAACTCTGGCCTCTTTGGGTCTTTGCTATACTTCCTTCATTTTCCCATAGTTCTTTTACAGGAAGCTTCAATCACCAAATAAAACCAAACTACCAAAATACTTCTGATTTTAGTATGCTAATATTTTTAGAAGGCAAATGATATTTAGGGTTGTTGGAGAATGCCTTTGAGG